TTAATAGCCCCGGCGAAAACCCACGGTTCTTGGACATCCAAGGGTTCTGTTTTGAAGCTCCTGCATAAGACATCATAGGCCGCCTTTGCATGATGGAGGTTCACTGGCAGGCACTTGATGTGCCTAGGCCTATCGCTTGGGGGGTTTGCCATTTTTCGGCCTTGAAGCCCGCTGGGCCATCTTTTTCCCCCTATTGGTGGCCATCAGGGTCTTCTCCTCGATCGAAATCTCCCCTCGACCTTGCCTCCGATTCGCATTTAGCGGAGGACGGAAGGGATTTTGGTCGAAAGGGGCCTTTGATTTCTCTAGGCTGGAAGGTACCCTCTTTTCCGTGCCAGGAGTGTCTTCTGAGCAGCAGGGCCGCTCTGTGGACTCCTGGACAGGTACTTTTTCCTTCTACGCTGCCCCTGACTGCTCTGAAGGTAACCTTTACAATCCCATGGGCACGTCCTTGGAACCTCAAGGTCCCTTTTGATGCACGAACTTTGTGCAGTGGAGGAGGAACTGGCTATAGCAGGCTGTGTACCCTTCGGGTCTGACGACTCAGTGGTCTTCCCTTTTTTATGGATGCGCACCCTGCCATATCCATAATTTACTAGGTATGCCAGCCTGTCGGGTGTCTCAGCTGAGTGCGGGTCAACCGTTAGAGTGAGCTCAGTGGTGGGTCCTTTCTGTACCCTGTTGAGCACCCTCCAGCTGCCTACCCGCAGCCCTTCGTTCTGACACTCGACAAGGCCAACGCTACTGTCCACTGGAGTGATTGATGGCTCCGGAAAGTACCCAACGTAGACACTGGGTTTGGGCACGTCAGTGGTATTCATTGCCACAATTTCCGCGCCCTTCCAAAGCTTTAGGGTTTGGGATACCTTGCGCAGCCACTCCAGTGTCTCCGCAGCCAATTGACATCCATCCCGGACGGAAGGTGCAACCGCTAAACTTGGGCTTCACAGAGCCCTTTCGGTGCCGCCTCACGTCCTCCAGGACGGCAGCCTGAATGGCCTGTAGTTGGTCTAAGGACCAAAGTGCTTTAGGGTACCCTTTAGGGAGTAACCCTAACCTAACCCCATTACCATCCGCCTGACAGGTCGGCGCCTTTGTGACATCGGCAAATGTTGCCTTGACACTAGGTTCCTTTGGCTCCATATGGGCTCTTTTGTCAGCTGGACCTGGTTTCCGTTTGGGAGATTTCTCCCCCGGGGAAGATGTGAGGTTCACCGATTGGTTCCTCTTAAGCTGTGTGCCAGCCAGCAAAGCCAGTTCGGCCTTTCCTTTTGCCATCGAAATAATGGCTAGCCGTTTGGCATCGCTTTTGCTGACACCTCTGGAGAGGTAGAATTTGTAGCGCCTTTTAACTGCTCCAGAGAGTTTTCTTTTAGGAGTACTAGCTTCCTCCTGCTGTGATGATAAGAGCGCCTCCTCCTCTGTGGGTATTTGGATGTCGTTGCCATTTGAACCAGAGCCCATGTTGGCAATATCGACATCCATGGCCACCGGGTTGCTGAGAAGGCCGTTTGGATCAAATTCCATTTCGTCCATTACAGCGTCCCGAGAGGGTTGAGCACCTTGGTCGTTTGAATTTTTACCCAGTTTGTCCGCTGCGATCGCCATTTGTTCAGCAATCTCGTTGGGCATCGCGTGCACCTCTGAAACTGCTGACTGTTGCCCACTATTAGAGGGAAGAGAGAGGTCATCCGAGGTAGAGCCCCGGTACCCCGGAAAGACTAAATAAAACCAGACGGCGCCACGTGACTGGAGTACACCGTAAAAAGACACATTAACGTAGTGCCATTCAGTCCGTGGCACGGTCCGATTAACACCTGGACTTACGGATTTTATCGAGTTGTTCTCTCTAGATCCGCCATATTCAGTAAAAGCAGGGGCACCTCTCGCAGGGTGTGACTTTTCGCCACGTATGGTCGGTCTTGAGCCATCGACAGCCCCTGATCCAGAGCACTGCATCACGTGTGATAACAGCACCAAGAACCTGGAGCCCCAATTTAATTGTATTACTAACTAGTAACTTTTTTGTTTAAAATATTTTTTATAAGAAAAAATTGGTACTTTTTTCCTTTTAAGTGTTTTCTCAAATTTTTATATACGAAGTATACAAATATTCCTATCAGAAGAAAGGAGGTTTAATCGCCTTTACACCGGTATCAATTGTTAAAAAAAATCGGTTGGTAATTTTCTTGTTTAAAATATTTTATTTTATAAAAAAAAAGTTATTTTTTCCTTTAAATGTGGTTTTTTCCAAATTTTTATATACGATGTATACAAATATGCATTTCAGAAGAAAGGGGTTTAATCGCCTTTATAGCGATACAAAAAAAGGTATTTTTTCCTTTAAATGTTGTTTTTTTTTAATTCTTATATACGAAGTATACAAATATACATATCAAAAGAAAGGGGGTTTAATCGCCTTTATAACGATAGCAACCTTTTAAAAATCGGCCAATAAATTTTTGTTTAAATTTTTTTTATAAAAAAAGGTATTTTCCTTTAAATGTGTTTTTCNTCCAAATTTTTATATACGATGTATACAAATATGCATTTCAGAAGAAAGGGGTTTAATCGCCTTTATAGCGATACAAANTCCTATCAGAAGAAAGGAGGTTTAATCGCCTTTACACCGGTATCAATTGTTAAAAAAAATCGGTTGGTAATTTTCTTGTTTAAAATATTTTATTTTATAAAAAAAAAGTTATTTTTTCCTTTAAATGTGGTTTTTCTCAAATTTTTATATACGATGTATACAAATATGCATTTCAGAAGAAAGGGGTTTAATCGCCTTTATAGCGATACAAAAAAAGGTATTTTTTCCTTTAAATGTTGTTTTTTTTTAATTCTTATATACGAAGTATACAAATATACATATCAAAAGAAAGGGGGTTTAATCGCCTTTATAACGATAGCAACCTTTTAAAAATCGGCCAATAAATTTTTGTTTAAATTTTTTTTATAAAAAAAGGTATTTTCCTTTAAATGTGTTTTTCTCAATTGTTTATATACGCAGTATACAAATATGCATATCAGAAGAAAGGGGATTTAATTGTCTTTACAACGATACCAATTGTTTAAAAAACTGTTAATAATTTTTTTGTTTAAAATATTTTCTTTTATAAAAAAAGGTATTTTTTCATTTAAATGTGTTTTTCTAAAATTTTTATATGCGAAGTATACAAATATGCATATCGAAAGAAAGGGGGTTTAATCACCTTTACAACGATATCAATTAATAACTTTAAAAATCAGTTCAAAATTCTTTGCAATATAAGGAATATAATTTTTCGAAGACCTGAACTTTGACCCCTTATAAAACCTGTAATATAAATTTGCACAAAAAATGTTATATACTATTCAAATAAGAGCAAAAGGAGGACTACGTCTATATTTTTAGGTTTTTAGTTATTTACATGCAATAGTTAAATATAATTTTTTACCAAAGATCCTATTTCGAACTTCGAAGGCCCATATTTCGATTTCGGAAGCCAACATCGAAAAACGGAGAAGTCACTGTTTTACCTATGACTCAAGCTCTTAACAAAAACTGGTTTGGTCCAATACCCAGAAAAAAAGTTGATTTTGCCGTACAGTGTCATTATGAATAAAGATTTCAAAGTTCCTGATGCTGTGCAGCTGAAGGTCGTTTCCGAAGCAATTTTCTGCGTAGAACTCGAGCTCGATATTAGAACTACGCTAAGATGTTGAGGTTTTTCCCGGTTAAATTCACGAAAACGGCTTTAATGGCTTATTTTGTTTGCTCTATGCCTTTTAGTACTATTCTTACCCTTCAAATGCTAGATTCGAGGACACGGCATTTTGAAGAATAATAATAGTACTAGAAAAATACGTGAAATAATTCCAATAGATTTTTTATTATTTAATCGGAAAATCTTCTTCTTCTTTTAGCTTCTTATTTCGCTTCTTTTGAGCTCGTTCCTTTTTGAAATAATGTAAGTAGTTCTCACTTTTTTATTTTTTTTAACGTAATTCTTATCTTCTAAGTTTATATAAGTTAGAAAAAATAAAAATTTTAACTATGGGACAATAACACGTTGAATAGTTTCCAATGTTGCTTGTAAAATGAGCCATATCTCGAACTAAATAAGAAAAAAAGTTTACTTAAAAATTCAATTAGTAAAAGAGACTTTTACGTTACAATATCTTTCCACCGAAAAGACATTGATAATGAAGAGTATATAGAACTATTTTATTTAACTGTGAAATAAGGCTGAAAGTGCTCGAAGAAAACTAGACTTTCCCTTTTTTAGCCTGGTGAATTCCGCGCAAAAAACTATTTAATATTTTATATTGTTACATTACATTAAATAATACTGCCGACTTTATTCTCATATAGAAACCTAATCGCTGATTTTTTCGAATACTTTTTTATTAACTTCAAAATAATGCAAGAAAAGCATAGAGAAGCAAGTATACTGCAAAAAATGGTGGTCATTAAAAATAAACTAACCTTTAGTTTCATGCTGTGTTTTTTAAATTTTCGTTTATTTAAAGGTATTTCAAGATTAAGAGAAGGAGATTCGTGTTCATATTGATGTTGTCCGATACCTCATAATATGTATGACCCAGATATAATCCAAAATCTGCGAAACCTGAAAAAAAAAATTGTTCCCCTTGGTTTCCTTTTCGGCGATTTGGGCCATATATTTTCTCTGAACTATAATTCGATTTCCCAACCCACCTTTTCAACCAAAAAAATTGCATAAATATCGTCGGTTGGCCTTTGTTCTCGTTAGCGATTCCATTGCTCACAGTCATTCACCGTAAGCTCCCTCGCATAAAACGCTTTCACAGTGATATATCACAAAAAGTAAAAAATAAATGATTAATGATAAAAAAAAAGTTACAATATGTTTAATGTGGACCACTTATTTTCGGTCTCTGCACTAAACAAACAATCAAAATGAAAGCAAAGCTGAATATACAAATAAGGCCGTCAGTTTAAAAAAAGATTTAATAACTTATTATTACTGTATTACCTTTTTGTCATTGTGCTGGAATACATTAAACAAGGTGCTGCCAATAAACAACTAAGAACCCAAATCAGAAGTAGGATAACGCGCACTTTCCGTCGTGACGTTCGCCTTTTCAAAGGATGGACAATCGCAATATACCTTGAAGAAGAAGAAACATATTTTATATACGAATGCATACACACACACACACACATATATATATATATATATATATATATATATATATACGAGATGTCTTAAGTTATACATTAAACCACCCGCCGGAAAAAGTATCCTTTTTGCCTAAATACTTTCAATAAGCGGTAAAGAAGAAGAAAGGCGTGAAATAAAGGAGTAACATATGTTGTTTTATTCCCAATCCCATNCACAGGCCCTTATTTTATATATTTTTTTCAATTTTAAACCACCCGCCGGAAAAAGTATCCTTTTTGCCTAAATACTTTCAATAAGCGGTAAAGAAGAATAAAGGCGTGAAATAAAGGAGTAACATATGTTGTTTTATTCCCAATCCCATAAACCGAAACTTTTCCAATTAATTTACTATAATGCCTGGTTAAGAATGAAATTTCCTATCTGAAAAGTTAGCAAAGTTCAAACTCCGTTGGAATTTGAAAAAGTTTCTGAAATAATCAGCTGTGTCGCGTATTCCGATGTTCTCGGTATCGGATTTGAATCCGACTACTTTTTTCGCTAGGTGTCGCGCAATCCGATATTATCGATCTTTTTGAAGTTAGTTTTTAAATACTTGTTTAGAAATAACTCCATTGTATAATAATCAAAACGATCTTATGTATTTGCCTGAACGATTTTGATATTGTCATATAAAATAACATTTTTCTTCTCTTGTCTTTGTGATTTCATTCGAATCAGTTAGTTTATTCATTTCATCCATTACAAAGGTTATGGGCACACGTTTCAGGATGAAGGATGTCTTCACTATATCAAATTGAAAAGTTAGAGGAAATAAATAACTTCGATGGATGGAGGGTGCACAATCGTTGTGTCCTCATTAGTCTAGATTTATGGGGATACGTCGATGGATCGATACCAAGGCGCAATACACAACACGGCAGAGGAAACTCTTTGGCTTGGGATGGCAAGGATTAGAAGGCGCTATCAGCAATTTTGTTAAACATGAAGCGGTCACAGCTAGGATTAGTAAAAAATGGCATCAAAAGAAGCATGGACAGTTTTACAACAAAAATTTGTTCCACAAGGTCCTGTAAGGAAAGTTTTGTTGTTTCGAAAGTTATTATCTCCTAAAATGTCTGAAAATATTGTTATGACTGATCGTCTTCAAAATTTCTCTGAAATCGTGAAAAATTATTTGAAGTGGATATAACCACTGGTAATCATCTTGTTGAATAGCCTAAGTTACGATTTCGAGAACTCCGTGGTTGCAATTGAGTCACGTGATGCTTTGCCTTACCTGGAAGCGCTCAAGATCAAGTTGCTGGAAAATTTCGAGAGACGCAAGAGACACATGGATAATCAAGAGAAGGAGGGGGGAATGGGGTGAATGCCCCGGGCCCGGGCTTCTTAACGGGCCAAAATATCAGAACCACAACTTTTTGTTTTTTTTTACAATGTAATTGCTCCTTCGTTATAGGTTTTTATTATAAATATATTCCGATTCATGCTGATTGCTCCTGACTATAAATTAAAGAAAATGATCATATGGCCCAAATCGCCTTCTTCTTCTTATTTGGCGCTGTAACCGCCTAAGCGATTTTGGCCGAGTCCAAAACAGCACGCCAGTCATTTCTCTTCTGTGCTAACTGACATTATGGCCCAAATCGCCTACTGTTACAATATATTTGGCTCACAGTGCTTTTCAAATACCGCTGAAACTCGCTAGAATATAACTTTCGGATAGTTTTTCTTCCTGCATCTGAAAGCATAAGTAAATAGCTCTGATGCAATACTTTTCGTGTAAAATCCTGTAAAAATATCAAACAGCAAAATTACTCTCTGAAGTGAGAGTAAAAAGTGAGTAACAACAAAAATTACGGGAACAAAAAAAGCATTATCCTGTAAAAACGTCAAGCAGATTTTACCAGAAAAAAAAGTTCGGGTAAAATCTTGAATCTTCATTATATACACACCTCTCCAGAAGTAGCTCTCATTTGCAGGATTTTGGAGGAACTTGGAGTACGGGATCAGTTTTTCCTGCAAGTTCGTGTAAAAACCTGTAAGTTAATGGAGTACTGGATCAGATCTAAGATGTGGCAATATTTAATATATTATATCTCCTGTTGTTTAGGAGTTATAAATGTTTCAACAGTGGACTGTTACATTACAATTTTTGGAAGTACTTTTTAAAGCTACTTTATTTTATCGAAAAAGTTTGCTCTCCTTATAATAGGAAAATTAAATATACGTATATTCATGATAAAAATATAGTAAGGTAGAACCGCTGAGAGTCACTTTTAAAATTCTTGACGTTTCCAAACAATTTAATTTTTAAATGTACTCACAAACTCACACACACATTTTCATTTTCAATCTCAAGCAACAACAATTTCGAACAATTTCAATTTTTTATTTTCACTTTTATATGATTTTAAAATGTTGGCAAACTTCAAAAAAAAAATTATGGCCGACAAATTGAGAGAACGGTTCTACCTTGCTATGTTTTTATCATGCGTATATTTGCGAAAATTAAATATACGTATATATAATAAAATTAAATATAACGTATATTTGCGAAAATAAATATCGTATAAACGGTTTTCCCGAAATTCGAACGGTAAAGTGGTGGAGGAATAGCGGGAATTCCTGGAAAACCGTACCCACACACCGTTGTGTTTATATATGTATATTAAAAAAAGGAGAAAAGAAAGAAAGAAGAGAGTGAAATTGTTCCACGGATAGCGGGACTCAGCGTCCGTTACAAACAAAAAAGCGTTTTTTTTTTTTTGAGAAAAACTCAAATCAAGTCGTCGAAGTTTCGACAACCACAATTATTGAATTTTTTATAGCTTCTTTGTTATTATATAAAGTAAACAAAGACTTTTATTCATTTTTTCTGAGTTTTCCTACGGTTGTAAGTTCTACGTTTTAAACCGCGCTACCTTTAAAGTGTTTGACGTGATTTTTAAAATATTGAGAGAAGGTGGTTGAGGCAGAAGGCCCGTATATGGACCACATTATATAGATCTTTTTTAAGAATCACTCAGGTTGTGCGGTACACTGAGAGAAAACTGTTTGGATATAAGCTTGGTTCAAATAACCCGTCGAATTTTGCGAGCCATAATAAGGCTTTTTGTTTGACTTAATAAATAAAATTTAAATTGAATATAGTTTGTATATATTAACTGAAGGTTTAAATATATTAAAGAAAGTTATTTTTCTATGCACTTTTGCGATAGCATCTTTTTGTCGCCGTTGTTTATATTTCGTATAAATTGTAAATTCCCCCGAGGTTCTGTGGTACAATTGACGTTTGTTTTTAAATTTTTCGTNCATAAATTGTAAATTCCCCCGAGGTTCTGTGGTACAATTGACGTTTGTTTTTCAATTTTTCGTTTTAATTAAATTAATTTTTAAAAGATGGCCAATGTTAATGATTTTTCGCGGGCGTGTGATTCATTGTTGGAATTCGAAGCGGGCTTCAATAACATGCCGTGTAGCAGCCAATCCATTTTTTCGCTGGAGATCCAAAAGGAGGAACTGAAGGCGCTTTGGGTCAAGGTGAAGGATGCGTTCGATGACTAGTGTTTGGCTAGATTCTGACGGGACCAGTACCACCTACGACCACAAGGAGTTTCACTACTTCTGTGTCTTACGGCACAGAAACTCCAACCCGCCAGCTAACTGGGTTTTGGGAGTTACAAGAAGTTTCCACAAAAAGGAAAATTAACCCCGAAGATGCGTTTTGTGAGGAGTTGTACGCGCAGACGACCGTTTCGTGAGGAATTCCCAGACGAAATCAACCTCGGTCTTTCAAGGAGTGGAGCAGCACTGAAATTCCTGCGCAGTGAGGACGGTTATATCAGGAAGCCGGAGTTGAAAACGGAGTACGGCCGGGTTCTCAAGCAGTATATCGAGCTCAACTATATGTGCCCCGTGAGGAAAACAACGCAACAACCAGCACACGGGCCATATTAGCTACCACATCACGCCGTTGTGACACCGGACGGCATAACGACGAAGGTGCGAGTAGTGTTTAACGCGTCTTGTCCCACGTCAAATAGAGTCAGCTTAAATGACATATTATACCCCGCGCCTATTCTGCAAGCGGATTTGGTTTGGTTACTTTTAATTTAATGCAGACATCGAGAAGATGTATAGGGAAATTATGCTCTATCAGGAGCATACCCCATTTCAAAGAATTCTTTTCAGAGAATTTCCGGACGAAGAACTTAAAGATTACGAACTTAAGACCGTGATATTTGGAGTAAACAGGGCTCCACATTTGACAATAAGAACGCTACACCAGCTCGCAGATGATGTGAAAACGAGATTTCCACTGGCAGCAAAGATTTTGAAACAGTATATGTATGTTGATGACGTCCTGACTGGAGACCACGGTTGCACAACTACGATACAAATGCGAGATGAGGTAATTGAAGCTCTTAACACCGCCAGCTTCCCCCTAAGGAAGTGTACGTCGAATTGTAAGAATAACCAAATGAGAGGTTTTATCCTGCGTAGCAAAATTGTTCGACCCAGCTGGATGGCTCAGACCAATTGCAGTGGTAGCAAAGATCTTCATGCAGGAGATCTGGCTAACCAAAATAGACTGGGATAACAGTCTACCCCGAAATTTGCTGCTACGTTTGGAAACCTCTCTGGATAATTATGAGCATATTCAGAAGATAAAAATCCCCTGATGGACCCATTTTACGCCATGTCAGATTTAGTCCAAAAAGCGTTCCTTAACTCGGAAATGACAGCAAAAATGAGAGAGCAACACTCGGTGAGAGTGACTCTCATCAGTCCGAAGTAGTCAGATTTAGTCAGAAGAATTTTTGGCAAAATCCTGAAAAGTGTCAAACTCGACTGAATTTAAATTAACTGAAATTAAAGAATACGAAAAAAGTGAGAATAATCTAAAAAGTAAAAAAGTGAATTGAAATTGGAAGGAGGCAAAAAATAATTGATATAGAAAGTGTTTATTGTGCTTGTGCTTGTGT